AATGATATGATTTTTTGTTCTGGGTCTTTGATGCCTGATACTTGATCCCATCAACACCTCATGATTGTACAAGCTGGTGTGCTTCTTCCATGTGGACTTTGTTGCTTCTCAGCTAGATGGCTGCATGTTTATCTCCAAGCCTTTAAGACCCCAGATGCTATATCTTTTGATAGCTGGGCACCATCAGCTTTTTTCACCACATTTGCTTATGTACCCATTTTGTCTTCAATGATCATGTTGGGAAGGTGAGCATCACAGAATGCTTGATTGTTAGAATAAAGTGTTCTTGTGTTGAGGGAGTAATTGAGTCGAGGCCCAGTGTCCATCTGCAACCTTAATTCTTAACATATAGATGAGTACATAGTTCTATTTCCCTCTTGTTATATATATATATATATGAACATGCCTATATATAGACCTCTATAAATGTCCTTTGCCTCCTGGTTCTTTCTTCTATTTCCTTTTACTTTCCTCTTGTCCCACCAGCATGTTCGGCTTTCATTCAGGTTTAGTAATTCCTCGCTGCTACATTGCCCGTGATTAAGCTCCACTAGGCATTCCATGCCCTTCTTTCCATTGATTTTAGTTCACTTGTTGTTCCCTTGTCCCTGGGTTGGTCTCGCCCACCTTCCTTTCTCCCACCTCCCCTTCTCCCATATTCCCCCGGAACCATTGGTCCTGTTCTTTTCATCTCTGAGTTATTTATCTCGCCTATCTTATCTAGATAGACATGCAGATACATTAACAAGTGTAAAAACCAGGAAAATCCAAATACAACAGCAAAGGAAGTAAAACCCAACAAAACAATAACAGCAACAAATAAAACAAAAACAAAATAACAATCACAAAAAGAAAACCACTGACAGAAATGGAAAAGGTCTGTTTGTTGGTCTTTATGAGTGTTTTCCAGTCGAGTCTGATGGGGTGCCATCCTCTGTCTCCAAAGTGTATTTTTGGTATTCCCCGGGGATTTCATCACTTTGCTCCCCTTGCTGCTCTGTTGCATGCCCTTAGTGTTTCGCCCCAGCATGATGGGGTCAGACTGTGCACTATTCCCGCATTGTGTCTCCAGTGGTGCCCCCCCCACCCCCCCGCAGTGCCATGGTGTAGTGAGGGATGATGGGGCTGGCTCTACAGTCCTCCCCATGCATTGTCTGCTCTGAGCAGGAACATTGTCCATGGGGCTTGGTGGGGCAGGATGTCCTCTCCTCCCTCTCCATCCCTTTGCGTTTCTCCCTGGTACTCTAATCCGATGCACCCCTCTCCCCAAGCTGTAGCCCAGTGCTGTCCTCTGAATGCATTCTTCTGAGAGGGGGTGGTATCCACATAGTTAGGATTGGGACCAGTCCCATAAACTATGTGATTTGTTCCTGGTTTATTCGATATCAAATCCCAAGCACTGAAGTCGCGCCTGACATGCACTTGCTACCATTGAGTCGATTCTGACTAATAGCACCCCTGCAGAACAGGGTCGAATGACCCCTATAGGTTTCTGAGACTGTAACTGAATAGAAAGCCACATCATCCCCCATGGAGCAGCTGGTGGTTTCAAACTGTTGACCTTGAGGTTAGCAGCCCAATGAGTAGAGTAATCCACTACACCACCTGGGCTCCTGATGTAGACGAGATGCTCAACAAGTATTTGTTGATTGATGGGCCAAATGAATGAATGGATCATTTTATTCCCTGGTGCCCCATCCCATGCCAATGATTCCTTGCTGAACTGCAGTAAGCCAGCCTGCCAACCACTCCACCCAACACTCTACAGCATTTCAAGGGGCTATAATCCTGTCTGCTGGGGCCCTGAACCAAGATAGCCATCAGCATAGGAGCCACAACCCTTCTGCAAATGTAGCTTTTGAAAGAGAGTTAGCCATCCCTCACACTCCTCCCGATCCCATGGACTTATGCTGGGACAACTTGGCTGCTGACATGCTTGGGCTACCTAGATCCAAGTGTGCTCCTGAACCCTAAGCTCTCCTGGTACAGATCAGCAATACAACCTTGGGAGCAATTCTCTGTCCTGCTATAGGGCTCAGAGAGCCTCGGCTCCATGAGTTCTGAGCGCTTGACCCCTTCTTGAGTTCTGAGTGGGTGTTTTGTTTCCTTGTGTCTGTCCAGAGTTCATCAAGTCCACCTGTCGGTTACTGGCAAGAAGACGTGGGAAGATGGTCTTGCCAAGAGGCTTCTTTCCAGGCTCCCTAACTCCACACATGAATTGTATTTTAAGGTATGTTTCAGAAAGTTCTCTCCCCACCCACTTGACCTCCCCATCCACATATTTCCTCTGACCCAGCCTGTCAGTCATCCTCCAGGGTGGGAGTGGTAGGAGAGGCTCCTAGCTCTCTGACCAGGGCCGGGGGCGGCTGAGCATCTTCCTGCAGGGATCTTTGCCCTGGGAGTAACCCCACTCAGGTCCGACAATGGAGACTGCAAACTCTGAGGCAAGCAGCTCGGCTCACCTGACCGGGGCTCCCCGGGACTGGGCCGGCTTCAGCATCACGGTGATGGTCGTGTCTGTTTCGTTGAGCGGAGTGTCTGTGTCATACTCAGGCATCGACGGGGCTAGGTAGGCAACAGAGAGAGGTGGTCAGCACAGGTCCCAACATCCCCCCTACTCCTCCCCGGGAAGATAATGAGGATGGCTAGGAAGGAGCTAAGTTAGAAACGGGAAGTCAGCTACAAGTCACAGGGCATCCGGGGCTTTCAGCAATTGTGGGCCTCATGCCCAGCATGCTAGGAGGCCCTTCAAGGTACAATCTGGGGAAGGGTGGTGACGATGGGACCAGAACTCTTCAGAAATCTGGAAGTCCCCCACCAAAAGAACATCTAGATGCAGGATGTACGGGCACTGAACAAAGATAGGAAATGAGTGCCGTTGATTTGTTAACCGTGCTTACCATGCAAATGAAAACAAGGGTGAACTCTTCCTCCTCTACCTCAGAAATAATAATCATAATAATCACATGGGCCTCCACTCCCCTCCCGCCCATATTCAACTGAGGGGGAGTGTGACTAACTCTAATCCCTTTGCAAGGTAATTTAGCCATTTGTATTAAGAGCTATTAAAATGCACATCCCTTCTGACTCAGTATTTCAATTTCTAGAATCTAAGCCTAAAGTTATAATCCAAACTAATGAACTGAACTTTATTCCATCATGTGTTTATTGAAGCATTGTTTTATTTTAAAGGAAAACAAAACACATGAGCACAGCCAATCTATCCAGCGACAGGGTGCTTTTCATTAGATTGCCATCCATCCACTTGCTGAAACTTTATGATGACAGCAGTGTAGCAACGTGGCAACGGCTTAGAACAGAGGTTCCCAAACTTGTTGGGCCTCCTGTCCCCTTGACAGGGGAACAAAATTCCTCAGCAGCCCCGCTGGTAATGAAAAGCTTTTGTCTTCTAGGCTGTAATCCAGGACAGAGTGTAGGCATTTGCTTTGACAGCGCCCTCTGGACCATTCCAGTGACCCACTGGGGGCACCATCGCCTACTTTTGGGAACCCTGGCTGACAGAGTCAGGGTCAATGGAAAGCACAACCCCCACGAGTTTGGCTCTATGTCAAACGCATAGGCACGCAGCAGGAATTGCATGGTTATTTTGGAAAACGAAAATGCTAAGAAAGATTCTGAAAGCAAGTGACCAGGGCTGGAGGGGGCCCCATTGAGGATGGCCGGGTGTAACCTTGGACCATTGTGCCTCTGTAACAATCATCCGTTCATTCATCCATTCACGCGTCCACCAGACATTTCACGAGAACCTCCTCTGTGGCCTGCAGTGACAGAAATATGCCTGAAAATTAAGTCACTTCTTCTCCCTGTTTTTTACAAACCAATTTGTATGCAAAGAGAGTATACTTTTGATCTCAACCTGTGGCCAATTATTTGGTGAATCACACTGAATTAACATCTTTTTTCAAAATATACTTTAAGAAGTTCCTAGATGAGGCCCACCCCCCTGCCACCCCCGGTGGTGGATCACCTCTGCTCTAAGGACACGTAGCAATCGTTGGTTCCATCCCCTTCTACCCCCAAGAGACCTAGGGATGGGGAGGAAGAAACCCCAGCCCAGGCCTCTGTAGCCTTTCCCTCTCTGGGAGCCATACCTGAGATCTTGGTAGCAATGCGAGTGGTGACTGGGGGCCCAAAGCCCTTGGCTGTGCTGGCCTTGATGGTGAAGGAGTAGGTGGTCCCGGGATACAGACCCACAAAGAGGTGGTGGGTTTCATTGCGGAGCTTGAACACTTTCCCTCTCTGGCTGGAGAGGTCGGCACTCGGGTCCAGCGAACCTACAGCCTTGTAGTTGATCTGCACAACAACCCAGCAGACGGACAGGTCAATGCCAGCAGACAGACAGGTCACTGTCCCACCCAGGAATGTGGCTCAGGCTGCTGGGAGGCACAGCCAGGGCAAGGGGGGACAGCAGCTGCCCAGGACTGACCACCTGACAGATGACACATGGTCCCAAGGGCGGCATTGCAGACACTCAGAAGCCAGGCTGTCCTAATACGACCTGAGCCACAAATGCAACCCTGCACTTTCTGGCCACCCCATTAAAGAAACAAACAAACAAACAAACAAACAAGAAGTGCAATTGATTTTAGTGATCCATTCTATTGAGCCTAATAAATCCATCATATTCTCATCCCAACATAACCATCAATAGGAAAATGTGAAAGAGATCATTTGCATTATTTTTATTCCTATGCAGTCTTAGTAAGAAAGGCTGTATCTGACCCTGAGCGCACATTTCAACTTGGGTAAATCCCATCTCAGAAGCACCTTAGCCCCTCCTGAGTAAGGGATTCTCTATTAGCAGCACACAGGGGTACTGCGGGTGGGATGGACATGCTGCCTCAAGCTCTTCTTACAAAGGGCCCCAGCCCTTCCGCTCCATGGGGTTCTCCTCCTCTGCTCCAGCCTGTCTCTGCTGAGAGGGAAGACTTCAAACCAGTCCTGCCTTGCTCATTCACGGCCAACCCAGCAAAAGCAGAACTGACCCAATTTTGCAAAATGTGAGTGACCCAGAACAGCCACCAGATTGGGACAAGTGATCTGTGCGAGTTGCATAGCAACCAAATCTCTTGGTGGGCAGAGTCTGAAAGAGTGGCCCTAATCCAAGATGGCAGCCAGCCACCCTGCTCGTCTTCCCAGTCCTGGCAAATGTCCAGGGTCTGGCAACAGGCTCCTGGTAGGGCTCACCGACCCTCTTCAGGGTCCCCCATTCCAGGGTGGAATGCCAGTCGTTACTCCAGATCCCCCACATTCTACGAAAACGTGTCTGCTCCAATCCCCCTATGTTGACCTTGCCCGAGCCGGTTCAAATGAGGCAGAAGCCCAGCTCAGAACAGGACTGTCACCTTGACACATGGAATCACTCACTTCACCGTTTAATAAAGGGGAGAGGAATCAGCCGCCTTTCTCCACGACATGTGGTGCCATCGCCAGAAGCAGATAACTGCTCATTTTACTTTTGAGATCTAGTTGGTGCATTCCAAGTCTGCCTGAGTCTGACTGTCCTCTTCAGTTGGGGATACTCTTGCGGGAACCAGAAATAAACACAAGTGGCATGAGGAGTGGATTGACTTCTCAATAGAATGGAAGCCACATGAGGACCAGGCCTGGTTGAAATCATCTGGGGCTGCCAGAAGCACAGTGTCAGAGCCTAGAATTCAGGAGGTACTCACAAAATGTTTGTGAGTACATCAGTAAGAGAATGAATGCATCCTTTAATTAATGATATGCAGATAGAATGATTGGTTCCCAAACTTATTTAGCCAAATGCCCCCTTTGGGGACAAATAATGACCCAGTGCCCCCCTGGCAATGAAAAACCTTTTGTATTAGCCCACCCACCCCTGGCTGTTAGCTTTCAGTTGCTCTGGGCTGCCTGTTCTCCACAATCCCTCTGGGTACCCCCTGCCCACCCCAGCCCTCCTCAGAGGCAAACACAGCAAGCCTGTCTTTCTTTGCCCGAGGGTTTTCTCTATGGGTGCTTGGTCCAAAGGGCTGGGTACTTAGCACACAGGTGCCAGCAACTCTCAACCAGCCACCGATGGGTGCATTCATGCCCAGACCTCTCACAGGAGCTCACCCAGTTTTCCAGGCATTCAGCTCGATGGGCCCCCAAAGTACCAAACAAAATTGAACCAGTCGTCAGTTGAATCTGACTCACGACGATGACGCTGTGCATCCAAGTGGACTGTGCTTCTTAGGGTTACAAAGGGCAGATTTTTCTGAGGTGCCTTCAGGGGAACTTAGCTCACCAATTTGTCAGTTAGCAGCTGAGTGCGAACAGGGAAGCATCACTTAGCGAGCCTCCTCCATGTGTCGCTAGCTGGACAACATATTCATCGGTGGCTAACCAACACACCATCTCTCCTCCATGCTTCCTGACTTATTGGTGTTTCCGCCTTATCGCTGTTGTTGTTGTTGTTGTTAGGTATTCTTCAGTCAGTTCTGCCCAGTGACCAACAGAAGGAAACAGTCCCTGGCTGGTACCATCCTCAAAAGCCTTGCTAAGTTTGAACCCATTGTTGCAGCCACCGCGTCACTCCATCTCTTTGTTGCTGACCCTCTACTGTACCGAACGTGATGTCGTTCTCTAGAGACTGGTCCCTCTTAATAACATGCATGCCCACGGTACATGAGACTAAGTCTCCGCATCCTTGCTTCTAAGGAGCATTCCGGCTGTTCTTCCACACCAGAGCTGTTCATCCTTTGGACAGTCCTTTGCCAACACTGAAGTTCAAAGGTATCAGTTCTTCTTGAGTCGTCTTGCTCCTTGCTCTGGGGGTGTAGTAGGCTGCGCATGGAGCTGCTAATGCACAGGTGAGTGGTTCAAGCCCACCCACTCAGCAGGAGAAAGTTGAGGCCGTCTGCTCCTATCACGATGTCAATTCTCAGACACTCAGGGGGGCAGTTCTACTCGGACCAGTTGGGTCAAAAGGAGTTAGAATGGACTTAATGACTGTGAGTTTGGTTTGAGGTCTTTGGCGGCATTGTCCAGATGTTGAATACATATGAGGTGATTGAAAATAGTATGGCTTGGCCAAGGCAGAGGCCTCTAGTCCCCAGAGTGACATCTTGGCTTCTTAACAAGGTAAAGAGATCTTTTGCAGCAGGTATTTGCCCTTGCCACAATATGTTCTTTGACTTCTTGAAAATAACGCTTTTCATGAGCACCTTCTCTGATACCCAAGAGCCTTGACTGTGGGTCCAAATGGAAGGAAAGCCCTTGACCACTCCCACAGCTGCCAAATAATCTGTTACATCCAGTCCCTTCTCTTTGGGCCTGCTTCTGAAGGGCCCACAATTAAGGCAGCTAGTGACTGGGAAGATATCTCAGGGGACAACCGAGCCACCCTAGAGAAGGATGGCATGGAGTCAGAGCCGAAGAAAGGATTCCAGAGAGAGAGAAGTGCAGAGGCCCAGGGTAGAGGAGGCTTGGAAGAACTGAGAGAAGTCCCTATTATAGAGTGAGGGGCAGATAGGGCAAGTAGACCTTCTGTAGTGGGCTCAGGACGCTCGCTCGTTTTCCCCAGTGTCAGAGGAGAGCCCTGGTTGTGACAACAAAGCTCAGTGTACCAGTGGAGGTACACACGTGTCTGTGCATCTTAAAACTCGCCCTGGCTCTTCCTGCAGGTGGGTGGCAACTGCATTGGTACACAGACACAGGGAGGGAAAACTCATGCCTTATTTACTAGCCAATTCCTTTCCCGAGCTCCAAATTCAATCCGAAAAGGATTCAATCTCCACAGAGCTGTCAATATAACATAGCGCGTTCCCCTGCTCTCCTAACCTTTCCTGGTATTACAGGATCCTCACTTACTTGTAATGAAACACTATGAATAAATCAATGTATGTTAATATAGCGTGCCTTCAATTTTTTATGAAAGGCTTCGCCAAATCTAATTCCCACTGCTTTGTCAGAAACAGTCTTTGAAAAATTTAACTTGCAAGTTTTACGAAGTTAGTGGGGGGATCAGGAGGGGGTGGGAAGGAAGGAAAGAGGATGAGAACGATGGAATGGGATGGAGCTGTGGCCATAATACGCATAATGCAATTGTGTGGGGTGGATCCCCTTTGGGAACGGGAGCTCAAGGGAGGTGTGTTGGAATGGCCATCATAAAGAGTGGGAGGCAGGGGAGGGGGGCGGGGGGGAGGGGGAAGGAGAGGTTACCAAGAAGTCTGACCACCCTGAGATCCTGGGCCTGGAGCAACCAAGTGCCGGTGTCCCCTTCATCCCTGATTGCTACCAATGCACTCTCCACCCAGACGCCAGAGGGAGTTGCCACAACAAAAGCCAATCCCTCCTTTTCTGAGAAAGGAGACCGCAATGGCTTCTCAGCTTTCTCAGGATTAAGTCTATGCTATTTTCTTGCCCTAAAAGACAGTCCAGGGGCTGGCCTCCCCTTCCCCATCCCTCACTGCCATCGTGTTGGTTCCCAGGCCTCTCGATCCTATCAGACAGAGTAGAACTGACCCTTTGGGGGTCGTTTCCCAGACTTTAAGTCTTTATGGGAGCAGAAAGCGTCCACTTGCTGACCTTGCACTTAGCAGTACAAGGTGTAACCCATGACACCACCAGGGCTGCTGGGACCCTCCCAATCTCCCTGGGGTACTCTGGAGCTGAAAAGGGTCAGGGTCCCCCAATCCACAGGGTCTTTTCACCGGCTTACTTGGTCAGCTGGGCTCACCTTTCCCTCCCGTGCCTTCTCCTCCTGATGGTCACGGACTCCGCATCCTTCCTCAGACCTCAGTTACAAAGACACTTTTCACGAGCACCTTCTCTGATGCCCACGTCCTCCTACACTTTGTTCCCAGAACCAGAATGCCCTTCTGAGGCCCCCGACTAATCTTGTGTGCAGAAAGTGAGGAGGACTTAAAGCACTTGCTGATGAAGATCAAGGACTGCAGCCTTCAGGATGGATGACAACTCAATATAAAGAAAACCCCAAACCTCACTACTAGACCAAGAGGTAGCATCATGGTTACAGAGAAAAGATGGAAGTGGTCAAGGATTACGTTACGTTCTGCTTGGACCCACAATGGCTGCTCATGGAAGCAGCACTAAAGAGACTGAATGATGCACTGCATTGGGTAAATCTGCTGCACAGCATCTGCAAAGCAAAAATGTTACTTTGGGGACTAAGGTGCACCTGACCCCAGTCATGGTTTTTAGGAGACTGACGAAGAGTCGATCCACTTGCAGGATGGTTCTGGCGAATACTGAGAGTGACACGAATACTGAGAGTGACACGCACTGCCAAAGAACCACCCAATCTATCTGAGAGGAAGTGCAGGCAG